TCATTCGTCAGAAAGGCTCTGTACGCTACAGCCGGGGCCCACATGTTAACCTGCCGGAGTATTCTCGGCTGCTCAGGGGCGCTTTAGGTTGGTTTCGGTTAACCTACCGACACACGTGCGATATGCTCGTGGGCCCTCTGCATAGGTCTAGGGGGCTCCAATTCTTGATGACTTGCTTAGGGGCCCTACGCTCTTGTCGGGGGTCCATCTGTTAACCTGTTTGGGCACACTCCGTCGCTCGGGGCCCACCTTGGGTGCTCTCTAATTAAATGAAGGACCCGCACACTTGTCGGGCCCCATCTGTTAACCTATTGGGGTACACTGGATTGTTTGGGGGCCCTGCACATGGGTTTTTTAATGAAGGGTCCCACGCTCCTGCCGGGGGCTACCTGGCAATCTCCTCAGGTGCGCTCGATCTTTCGAGGGTACTTCGCACTGGGTCTTGGGTATTTCTTATTTGAATGGGAGTCCTACGCTCTTGTCGGCGGCCTATCTGATAACCTGCTCGGGCACATTTCATCGTGCGAGGGCGAACTACACTGTGGCTTGGTTGCTTTCTATTTGAATGAAGGATCCGCACTCTTGTCGGGGCCCCATCCGTTAACCTACTCGGGCACACTGGATTGTTTGGGGCCTTACACATTGGGTATCTTAATGAAGGGCCCCACGCTATTGTCAGGGGCCCATCTGATAATCTGTTCGGGTCGCAGTCCACCTTTCGGGAGCCTACCGCACTGAGTTTTGGTCACTTCTTATCTGAACGAAGAGCCTTACGCTCCCGTCGCGCCCCTTCTGATAAGCTGCACGGGCACATTCAATCGTTGCACTCGATCATGCAGAGGCCCTCTACTTCGTGTCGCGGGTATTCCATATTTGAACGGAGGGCCTCGATCCTTCCGGGACCTCCATGCTGTGTCTTGAGTGCTTCTTTTTTGAATGGATGGCCATGTGTTCTTGGCGGCGCCCTATCTATTAAGCTGCTCGGGCCGGTGACGGATACAGAGAGGGGCGGGGGGGGGGGAGGAGGCACCGGACCACGCTCCCATGGACCATACGGTGGGGACCCAAAGGTTCCGAAGGGGCCCATAACCGGCCGAACGAACGCACTTTTCTAACAAACAAGATAAATAAGTTAGATAACAAATGAATGTCTTTGGACACACAGACCACAAAGAACGGTTGCAAGCGAAAGAAGAGAGCTCATACGCAAACAAATTGAATTATTCACCGACCGAGAAGGCGGTACTCGAGGGGAATTTTGGGGCTCACTACGCCGCTCAGAGAAGTTGCGTTGCTGCCCTGGCCCCATATGTCCCCTTGCCGGGCCAATCCAATCGCCAAGGAGCGTTCCACGCTTCTCTCGATCTCTTTGCATTTCCTCGTAGGTGATCCCAACGCTACTGTCGGGACACTGTGTTCTTCCATGCCTGGACACTCTTGATCGATCAGGTTTTCCTTCACGGATTCCTCCCATTCGCCCAAAACGCCCTATACACCTTTGCCGGTGCCCATAAGCCGGGGTACACTCAATTGCTCAGCGGCCCCTCATATAAGTCTCGAGTTTTTACCACTTGCTTGGAAAGCCTTATGCCGTTGCTGGGCTCGTACAAGGTAGCGCACCGAGGCACTCGATGCTCAGGAGCCCTCTACGTTGATTGAGGACTCTTTCCCTCTGGTCTCATTCACGGAGGGCTGTTCACTCCTATCGGGCCTCTTAGTGTTAACCTGCTCGGACAGTTTCATCGCACAGAAGTATAAAGGGTTTTTATCGCGCAAGGGCATTAAGGATTTGATTCGAACAAGGGTTCCGTCCCTGTTGGCCTTGGTGCCTAAGCCTGAGAGTAGCAGTCAGGCATGCGCTGTGAGTTTTTACGCGCACTCGTCGAACGCAATTTTACGTGCCATCGACGTTGCATGTGTCATTTCCCTTGGTTAAAGAGTATGTTACACATATCAAACTGGTGCATCACGTTCCTACATATTTTGAATGCTAGAATGTTTTGTACCCCTTCATAACAAGGACAAATTCTGTATTAGTTATCAGCCATCAGCTAATTACATCGCCCAGCTGGCTTGCCGTAAGTAAGCTAGGAATCAATTACTTGCTGGGTTTCGATGGTATTGAGCAACCAGTTTGAGTTTATTTTGCCTGTTTTTCCGAAACATTTAGCCTCAAAATCACAGGGATAAACATGATCTGGAGCAAATGAGTGAGCTCCATGTATGTGCATGCGTAGCATACCTACTTTGATAGGGCTGCGCACAGTAAGCTGAGTTCCCGTATTATGATTGGTACCCTATTTATTATTTTTTTGAGGTGGGTACCCTATTTATCTTCAGATATAATTGCTTGAAAGCGAGGATATCTTTGAAGGGGAGCGCAAACTCTAAGGGGGCCACAATATTGCATGGCGACCCCCCTGACGATATCTTGGATCCGCCTCTGGAATAAAGAAGCCGATGCTCTTGATCAGGAGGGCCAATGTGTTGTTGGGGAGGCAAATTTTCTGGTTCAGGGGGCCCCCGACACAAACTAGAAGGCCCCCTGTTCAGAATAAGGAGGCACCCTCTTTATTCACGACGGCAATTTCTGGAGCAGGAGGCCGTTTTCGTGCATCAGTTCGCCCCAATTTCGGATCAGGATGTTCTGTTTTGGGAAAGCGAGGCTCCTTGGTTAAATTTGAAGGCTCTCTTCGCAAGTTGTTAAAATTCTGTTCTGAAATAGGAGGCCTCTTTATGCATCGGGAGGTCATTTCCTGAAAAAGCGAGACTCCGTTGTAGGTAAGCGAGACCTTTCCATAAATAATTAGGAGTTCCCAGTCCTGAATCGCTTAACTGTTGACATTTAGTTGGATGAATATGATGCGTGTAGCAGTTTAATGAGAGAGAACAAGGCCTCGGTGCTCCTCCCCCTTGCATACGACGCTGTGCAAGAGGTTTCCTGTGAGGAGTCTTATTTTGTCCTGGTCTCCTGGAAAATCCTACCTCTCATCTCAAAACCCGTGCCGCCGTGCATAACAACCGTAGCAGTGGCGTGATCCAACCGAAAAATCGCTTTCTTAGAACTGGACACGTATTTTAAACATCAATCAGCACCTGGTACTTAATATTTGGTCTGAAGCGAAGGAGAGCGCATTTTCTCCCAGCTCAGTTACCGGATCCTGCCCTTCATGAAATGTCAACCATCGGGCATTTTGCCGCTGCACATGCACACGCCAACTCCACAGGTTCCTGCATGTCCGAATGGTCTAGCTGATTGAAAACGCCAAGGGTGTAGTTTCACAAAATGCGTTTGGGGGTGGGGGATGAGGGAGCTGAACAGTGAAAGATGACCCAGCTTACCCCAAAAATATGGCAGCAAACAAGTCTTTCCCCAGATTAAGTCCACTCTTTTCCCAAAGTTGGGGGGCCGGAGCCCAACTGACAAGAAACTAGACCCCGGCATACGCGCAGCGGGGGTGTAGTTTCGTTTTCAGTTAAGTGCGGAAGAGGATATATGCCCCCTCCAAAAAGCCCCCCCCCCCACAACTCCGAGAAGAAAGTGCTCAGATTCGGTTATTGGCACATCTTGTGGACGTTTCCCCATTTTAAATTGTACAGCCCGCGCTGAAAGCAGCGTGCAGTCTGTGCACCCTATGCGTGCATCCAACAGATGGTACAGTGCAAAAAAGCGCGGGAATAATGTCCATTTGAATGCCTCGCTTGCGAAAACGCCGCTGCACATGATTCATTATGCACTGTACTGAAATATTCTAGTGATAGCTATTTGATCTCATCCTCTCAAAACAAATTGATGACGTCTCCCCTGGCCCCTGGTCTTCGGTGCCTCTCGAAATGAAGCTTCCGGGCCATTTGTAGTGCCCCTGAAACTTGGCGCCTCTCGAAAAACAAGGGCCATGTGGATCCGAAACGAGGATTTTTGTGCTCCTTCGCCATGAGGTGTTCCTTCGATCCCAGGAGGGTGTCATGATCCCATGCCCCCCCCCCTCTGGATGTGCCACTGAAGGCGCCCCGTCAATATGTGAGAGTGACCGCCACAAACGGCGCTCCTTGACCTTGCTTCAACCATCCTGTCCACGTGCTCGTGCATGCTTCTCACTAACATCACAAGAAAGACTTGACCTTCGCCCGTCAAGACCGAACGAGCGAACGCGAACAGCCTTGCCATATAAGGTGAAGAGCGCTACGGAAGGACGCCTATTCTCTAGTTTCTGAACTTTGAAACCGTTTTATTTTAGCGTGAGTTGATTAACCTGGAGGCTTACAACTGGTTGGGAAAATTTTTGAGGAGTTCAGAGAAGAAAGTGTCAACAAAAGTCTCGTGCTACACAAGCCCCACCATGTAGATCAGCATCGACAGTAATGTCTGGTTCGCTTCTACCGCCAAACGGTCCCAGTCCAGATGACTCACTTTTCCCTTGAGACATATAGTTCGTACTGTTGCAGTTTATTTTCACATTATTCATGTTTTTTTCTTACGGAGAGGACATTTGTTCGTACCCCTTTCTAAGACAGAATGAACCGCAGCTGCAAATCTCCAGCGAGTAACCTTCACACATGAATGTGGCTTCTTTTGACTCGAGTTTTGTGCCGAAAATTGGCCAATGAGGCTCAGGAAATAGCCTGACGTATGGCGCATGAACTTTATTTAGCTGCCACTGAACGTCTGAACGACTCACCTTTATAAGGTTACGATGTTCAATCTGACACTAAACGCTCAGTCCTTAGCGGAGCTACACGGCTGACTACTAGGTTTTATGTGAGTAATGTAAGCAAAAACGAAAATATTTTCAGTTTTTTCCTCCCAATAGAAAATACATTCTTATATTTTTTGGTTACATTATTTTAAAAAGTAAATTGTACCATATTATAGTACAAGTTTCTCTGAAAAATATTTTCTGATAGAAAACTGCGCTGCTTTGCGGTAGAGCCCGGATATCAGCTGTGTGCTACACGGCGAGCTGTCGTGTTGCTGCCAGACACAGTTCCGTGATTTGCAGTCCTTCCTCTCTGGGCGTGGGGTTGCCGGCCGGTGAATTCTCCGCACATCCACGAAATGGTAAGTGATATGTTTTAATGAACGGTTGAGTGGGATGGAAGTATTGTAAGGCGTTTGTAAGAAATCAGTGTTCGCTTTTGCTGCTGTCAGAGACCGTGGAGGAGGGACGGTTTTTGGTGCACGGATGTTAATTGTTACCAATTTGAAAGTTGCCCTTGTCTGAAGCGGTTTCATGTTAAAGTACATTTTTGGCGAAGTATGCGGGGATATGACAGTTCTATGTTTGTTTCCCTTTTGAAGCAGGTTAGGCATCAGATGTAAGTAAGTTGATGAGGACTGGGAGCATTCACCGAACCTCCTCCCCACATTGCATCATTGAAAGTGAAACCTGATGCAAAAAGTACCATTTTTTATATTGGAATCCATCGATGAAATAATGAGCATTAGTACTCTAGGTTGTCAAAAAACCTTTTCACAGCATATGCAAGGGCATGCAGACATAGTCACATAGGCCAGTCTGCCCAAATTCATGGTGCAGGAATGCTTACATGGCATTGGTGTGCTGAGCATGGGGGATACATACATTGAATTCATGCAAGGTCAAAGTCCACTGAATTTTTAAATTATGCATGCCTGGTAACCTAGGGACTTTTGCACACTAACAGAAGATGTCCAAGAAACATTTGCTTAACTCCAGCAACTCCATACAGGCACATAATGATAAATGTGACAGTGTGATATTGTATAACCCATGAGATGCTGTTGGTGGCTGCAGGTGACTGGTCATTGGTAGTTGGCGCAGCCTAAACACCTCATACTTCATACAGCACAGCTGCCCGAACAAGGTGCTGTTACAGGTTTAAAACAGATACTTTTTAAGGCATTGTGATGTTTTTCACTTGGTGTCATTAGTGACCAGCTTTAGCCTTGGCAGTCATTGGGTAACCCTTTTTACTTCTGATGTGGTCACTGGGGATAAGGCATTGGGACTGACTGGACTGGTAACCATTACTAATTTTATCCATGTGTACTGATACTCCATTTGGCATTCTGTGCTGAATAGGATAAATCAAGGCAGATCTGTCATTTGAAATTTTTGGAAGTGGCTTAGTTAGGTTTTGCCCTATGCAGCTTTAGCTCCTATGCAAACATTCATGTTAGTTAGATTCATATAGGCATTGGGTGGATTGGATTCATTCATATAGACATTGGATTCCAATGTTGGACTGATCTATTTAAAACTGGGGAACAGCATTGTGAACATGATGCAAAGTGTTCAGTTTTGAACCAGAGTAGGCAGGTACTTGTGCTGCAAAAATGCTCTGTTAAGAAGTTATTTAGGTACAGGGCAGCTTCTGAGCAATGTTTGGATGTGTATGTGTTATCAGTATGAGTCTTAGAAGTAGTTATGTTTAGATTTTTGGCATTGTTTTGTTCATAGATGTTTCCTAACACTTGTATAAAGACAAAGGATGGTTGTTTCAATTAGTTCCTCCAGGCAAACTGTTCCACTTCATGGACTTGACAGCATTGTTCATAAACAAAGGTAAAACTTTTCCTCAAATCAAAACACATTCACTCAGTATTCATATCCAATTTTGCCCTGCAAGTAGTTAAGGTTATACTAGGCAACAGGATTAGAGGGCCAGCAAGTGCTCATGATGTTCCTGTCTGCTTCTCCGGCAACACATATTTACTGTAGAAGTATTGATTCTGGTCTTTATAAATGTTGTTTCAGTGAAGATTGAATCTGCTTTTTCTGTGATTAAGCCATAGTTTCATGCTAGCTTACATTGTCAGCATACACCACCAAGGTTTGGAGCACAGATAACTAGTCCACAGAGTGACCATATAGAGGATGTGAAACTGGTCCGTCATACCATTGGTTTTCAGGCATTGTAAGTTGTGATGTCCATGACTTGTTGTATGGAGACATTTTATTAGGGCACTTGCTGAAATACATCATGACAGAAAATCCTTACATTTTTGTTACTGATCTGCCTTACCCAAAATGGATGGTTTTGACACTGAACAAGATAAGTCTGTTGACTCCTTGTCACTCATATCCAATCAGTCATATTGGCAAATACTTCATCTGTGTGTGCTTTGTTTGGGGGCATCAGTCAAGAGATGGTCTGGGAGCTGGACACCACAATCAGCTGCTGATGGCTTCATTTATATCCTGAACATTGTAGCAAGTCAGTCACACATGCATCATTGTGTTCTATCCATGTCTTATGTGGAGTAAATTATGGTGTTGCTGTTATATGCTATAAGGCTGTTATGCTTTTTATCATCCAAAACATTTCCCCAATTATTTTATTCTTGGTCTCTGCATCTCATTGTGTGATACTTTGTATCTTGCTCTCACCCCCTGACTAGCTTATAGGCAGACTGCTGTGATTGCCTAGGCTCATATCTGCTAGCAAGGTCTGATGTAGCAACAATGTTCTGAACTGCTCCACACAATCACCCATTCATTTCTGTTGTTGCTTAAATGTTGTGCACTTGAATTTTAACCATGTCTGTCTCACAGACTTGTCTGGCTGTCCCCACACTGCTTAACTCTGTTCAGATGTCCAACTCATCTGAGACCCAGGCCACACCGTGGTCTGCTCATCGGCCTGCTCCCAGCCCCGTCCAACTCATCTCAGACCCAGACCATGCCATGGTCTGCCCAGCGGCCTGCGCACCCGGGTCGGACCGCGTCGCCCATCAGCCTGCTCCCAGCCCCCACCTGACCAGCCTGGCGCGTCCGTTGCAGGCGTCCGGTGTGTCCGTATCGGATGCGTGCAAGACGGTGTTCGACGAGGTGAAGAAGGCCAAGAAGCACCGGTACGTAGTGTTTGTGATCAAGGATGACGTCATGATCGACGTGGAGGCGATCGGCGACCGCGACGCCAGCTACGACGACTTTGTGACCGACATCCAGAAGGCCGGCAAGGGCCAGTGCCGGTACGGCCTGTTCGACTACGAGTACCTGCACTCGGTGCAGGGCGCCGCCGAGGTGAGTGCGCCGGGGCAGAGGCGAGTGGTCAGGGCGCCCGCCGCTGCTCGGGCCGCTGGCAGGCCGGCCACGAGAGTCCGTGTGTAGGCCGACTTGTCGAGCCAGATTGCGCCCGCCTGATTTACGGGGCGCGGTCCTCGTCTGCGGGCCGCGGCCGCGAGACGCGGCGCGTGCGATTTATGTGGCGGCGCCGCTCGTCGCCGGGTTTCATTTCCAGCGCCGGCTCGTGGCCGGCGCGCCATGTCGTCGTGATGGATGCTGGCGGACAGGCGCCGGTGGGCTGCCGCTCCGGTAATCGGCCCGGGTCAGGCGCCGAGCCGTCAGGTCGGCGGCGACGGCGGCGGCGGTGGTGGCGCACCTTCCGCCGGGTTCCGGTGGACACCGTGTATTTCGGTCGCCAAGATTTGGCATGCGCTGCTCGCGCCTGTGGGGTGGGGTAGGACAGCGCAAGGTGCGGCTGTAGCTGCTCTCGCCGGCTGCCCGCCGCGCGGCTACGCGACGAGCGTCGTGGGAGACGCGGCGCCAGCTGATGCACTCTGCGTGCAGCGTGCCGCGATGTTGACTTTGGCGCGTTTTTACGTTCGGTCGTGGCGCCGAGTGGGTCGCTCCACGTACCGCCGAGCTGCCGCGTTCAAGTGTGACGTCACAGTCGAGCCGCTACTGGCCCCAGTTTAGAAGCAGTTTTTGGAAGGATGACGTCATTCGGTATGTGTCGCGCCCACGTCTTGCCGCGTTACGTGGCGTCGCTTCTGGCCATAGCAGACAGGTCGTGTCCGAGGCGTGACGTCACGCGTCTGAATCACGCGACGATCGGTAGACTTCGTGGAATGGGCAGAATCCATGCGCAAAGTTGCGCTGCGAGACGGCGGGATAATGCGAGGCCTTCCAGACTGCGATGGGTGACGTCACTCACACGAGTCGCGCACAGCCGGCTCCGGACAGCAGCGGGCGCTTTGTCCGAAGTTGCGAGTCATTCGCACGGGTCGATCTGCGATGGATATCGCTCCCGGCCTCGATGGACATCTCGTGTCTGAGGCATGGGTTTGTTTGACGTGTGCCAATCACGTGACGTGCGCTACGTATGCTATGCGATTTGCCGCCTTCTGCGCCGTTGCCACCGGTTGGCGTGCTGGCGAGACGGCGGTGGCGCCGTGACCTCCCGCTCGGAGATCGGACACCGGGCGTGCGCCGCGGCCAACCTCTGCTCGCCGTCGGGCTCCGACCCGTCCGGAAGCCGGGCGGCGCGTGCGCGACGCTCCGCCGCCAGGTTTGCAGCCGTGCGTGACCTGACTGCGCCGCATCGGTGTGCCAGTCCGTCCAGGCGGCCTGTGCCGCGGGGCTCGCAGGCGAGGGCCGCCCTGGAGATGACGTCGGTGCTGCACGATCGGCAGTCGGCGGGCGGTGGGGCCCGATGACCTCAGCCAGGCCTGGCCTGCGGTGTTGGCCTCGGTCGCTGCCCGCTGGGGCGGCTTTTTGTGAACGCGGCGAGGAAGAACTGCCGAACGGCGTCGCAACGTTGGGATGACGGGACGTTTCGGCCGTCGGCACGCCCGTGAGCCGTAATCATCATCCTCAGCAGACCTTTACTGTCCCACGGCCTTGCAGTCATGCTGCTCGAGCATCCGGACGGAATGTGGGGCACGGCAGCAGATGTGGCAGTCGTCATGCCGTCCTGACGTGTTACCATTGAGAGTTGCTGGTTCTGGCAGCTGTGCCGTGCCGGCATTTCTCGGCGTCCTCCATCGGCGCCCGGGTGGCCGGGCGTGCGCCCCGAGGCGGTGGCGCCGGTACCGATTCGCGTCGCCACGCCCGGTCAGACTGATGACCACAGCTGCGCCGGCCATCTGCGCGGCGCGAGCTGGCCCGCGGTGCGGACCGCCTCACACGCGCGGATAATGCTCTCGCTCACATGCTGCCCGCCGTCTGGAAGCGCAGCCGTGCTGTTTTCTGTCGTGTCGGGTGATATGTGTCGGTGTCATGCGTGCGGATGTGTTGTTACGGGCCTGCCTCCGCCCTTTGTCGCCCGCCGCCACGCGCAGCCGTCCCGCCACGGCCTCGTGCTCATCTGCCCACGGGCGTGTGTGTCAGCGGGGCGGCGGCGCATGTCGTCACGGAGGAATGTGTCGGCCGTGACTCACGTGCGCCACGCCGAGCTGAGGCGCCCCGCTGTGGGCGGCCAGGCGTGCCCGGGTCTCCCGGTGAGACATCGACGGCCGCTGTTGCACGACCGAGCGCGCGCAGAGGCCGCGCCGCGGCACAAGCGGACCCGATTGGTATCGATGCTATCTCTGTTACGTGACGACGACTGTCTGGAGGGTGTGGCGCGGCGCACAGCCCCCGGGTTTTCGGTAAGCCCCTGCTTGCGTCCGGCGGTTTCGTTTGCGGTACTGACAGGTGGTGTGCATTGCAGCCCACGAAGAAGCAGAAGCTGTTCCTGATGCTCTGGTGCCCTGACGAGGCCAAGATCAAGGCGAAGATGCTGTACTCCTCCAGCTTCGACGCTCTCAAGAAGTCGCTGACGGGCGTAGCCAAATATGTCGAGGTATGTATCGTGCGGGTGGCCGACGCTGTGTTCCGCGTCGGCCAGGGTTGGCAGGTTGATCAGCCCTGCTCCCGCCGTTGAGGCGGCTGTAGCCGGGTTGGGGTGGGGAGAGGGGAGCACGGGGGTCTCTGTCGCTGCGCGGCGGTCGTTCGTGACCTCCCGAGGGCGGTTTGGCAGGCGGCCGGCGCTGTTCGGCTGGCGCGCTTGTTGGGGTTTGGCCGCCGCATTCCTGCTGGATGCCGTCGGCGCCGGCGGGCGAACGCCAGCTGACGGACACCCTCTCCGCTTGCAGGCGACAGACTCGGCCGAGATCTCCAAAGAAGAGGTGGAGAACAAACTAAGGCAGAATGATCGTATGTAAGCGGCGATGGCGACAGCCTGCCGGGTCGCGGACGCCCGGTGCCCGTGCGCGCTCGCGCGCGCGCACCCACGACAAAAATACAGACTGCTAGTCCCAACTGTGAAGGGGGGCTGGGCGTCACCCAGGGATCGACGATCAACCAGCCGGCGAATAAGCGAATCAACGGGACGGCCCTGCCGGCACCCAGCAGCGTTTGTTAATTTCCTATCTGATTACACGCATCCACGTGCGCGCCTGCCGCGGCCGCGCCTGGCGCGCCGCGCACCGGACCGACGGCACCAGGTGGGCGCGCGGCGAGGTCGGCCCGGCGTGCCCGCAGGGCTTCCGTCGACGCAGCACCGGGCGGGGCGGAGCGGGCCTGCCCGATGGCGCCTGTGTGACGTTTTGTATTGCAGGAAATCTGTTATCGAAACCACCTTTCAGCGTGTGTCGCAGCGATTTTTCTATTTATGATTGTAGGCTGTACACGTTACGAATAAATTTCCTTTCTACGCGGCGTGTGTCGGTGCGGCGGGCCAGCCGTCGGCGGCGGCGAGCCGGGCGCGGACGGCCCGGGGCCGCCTTCCAGCTCGCCCCGGGCTATTTATAGAGCTGGCGGCGCGCGCCGCCCATCCCGGCTGGATGCCGCGCGCCCTGGGGGACCGTGTTTTCGGCGCGTTGGGGAGGGGAGGCCCTCCCGGGCGCGCCCTGGTGCCCCGCGCGGGGTGCATGGCGGGAGGGATCGGAGGCAGTCTGAGAGTGGTGGCGGAAGCTTGCAGAGACCGGCCTTGGCGGGGCAAGGCAATGGCGCTCTCAGGGCTACAGGCACACTGTTGCTCGCCTGTGGAGCTCGCAGCGACGGCGAGATTCATTTGCACTTTTTGATTTTCTCAGTATCTAAGGAGAATGACGATTATGCACACCCATATCATATACCCACATTGCATCCGTGTGTACACATCCACATCTGAACGAAACCGACCCCTCCGCGCGCTCCAGCCAGGGACGACGTGCGATAGAAAGGACACCGCGCCGCGTGGAAGGGCGTGGCCGGAGCAGCTGACCCTGACCTTCGCCCCGGCGCGCCCGTCGCCCGCCGTCGCCGGGCCCTTCCGTGACGGCGGGGCGTGCAGGTACGGCCGCCGGTCTGAGTGCGGACGGCGGCAGCGGGCGGCGCCACGTGGGCGGGGCCCTGCCCGACGCCGCTGGCCGCCAGCCAACTGCAGCCGCGCTGCCGGCGCCGGCCGCCGGACGCGCCGGCCGCCCGCCGCGCCTGTCACCATGTAAGGAGCGAAACCGGCGGCGGACGCGCGGGCAGCGGCACGCTTTAACGTGCCGCGCAGGAACTACCGATGCCAGGTGCGAGCGGAGCGGGGCAGCTGCCGTCGCGGGTCAAATCGGGAGCTCCCAGTCCGAATCTCACTTATCGGCCAATGAGCAAACACCTCCGACGCCATCAAAACGACCGGGGTAAGATACACGGAGTGATCGCATGCATGTGCATACATGATGTGACGACAATCGACGGTCCGCGTTTGTGGCGAGACAAGTTCAGTTGCATGTCTTCCGGCAGTGTCACCTGTGACGCAGACACGCCGCTGCAGTTCGCCGCCGGCCGCCGCCCGGGCCGCCGCATTGTCCGCCGGCGGACAACAATGCGGCGTGGCGTCGCCAGGTGGGCTGCCGTCCGTCGCGCAGCGTTGCCACGCACGTCCGCGACGCCCCATCGCGCCGCCGCCGGCCCGGTTCGCACCACACCGGCGCGGCGGCGGGGAGACGCTGCGCGCCCTGCGGAGACGGCCGTCCGGCAGACGTGACGGCGTGGAGACGATCGGACAGGAGACGTGATGGACAAAAGACTCCGATGGGAGGGAGAGGTGCTACGTTCTGCAGGCGGGTACCGAGGGACTCCATGCCCGATAGCGGCAAGGACGGAGGATTTGGCGCGACAGGTACTGATAATGGCGCGAATGAAAGTGCGCTTCGCGCCGGTGACGGGGTATGGAAATGGTACTGGTGGAAAATGGTGCTGCGGTGGGTACGGAGACGGTTCACGCCCCGGAGGCACGGGGGCGGCGCACAGTGCCATGTGAGGCGAGCAGATGGCTCGCGCGTCGAGGGGACACGTCGGTAAGGCGCGACTTTGTTTCCAGCGCGAGCGAAGTATGTACCTGTTGCCTCAGTTTTGTTTTTTGTTTTTGTTTTTTGTTAAAAGCACAGCGAGACGCCGCTGCAATTGGTCAGGCCGGTGGCGGATCCAGCATTTCGTCAGGGGGGAGACACGCAACTTTGTGGGTCCCCCTGGAGTTTGCGGCCCTTCCAAAAAGCCTTCTCATTCCGCCCATCAAATCGTAAATCTACTCGAGTTATTTTTAAAACAGGAACCATCGTGCTGTGCCTAGAAAACTAGGCACAGTACGAGAACAGACACGGTAGAAAACAGCCCGCAGGCCTAGAAAACTAGGCTTGCTGCGTACATGCATGCATGGATCTTATTCATTTTCTCCAGATCATGGTGGTTCCTGTCATTTTGATTATGTCATCCTGTCAAAGCAGGCAAGTTGACGCGATCACCTGATGGTAGATGTCTTGTGCAGAGTTTTTGCTGTAATTGTCACGAAGGCGTGCGAAATAACCTGGCATTCAAACGTGATGCACGGGTGTAATAAGTGTCACATATTCAATAACCTACGGAAATGACTACGGCATCGGCTTCGCGTGAGGTTATACTCGGCATTTGCCCTTAAAAATGAATGAGGGTATATCTGCTGCCATAAAGCAGAGAAGCCGAGAAAAATCGTCATCCTACAGTCTTGGCCTCGTGCACATGGTGTAATTTGGCTAGGCCCATACACACGAGCAGGCGAAACACCCTGGCACTCGCGAGCACATGCGGGGCTTTCGGCAACAGAGCAAGACCCTTCTGACTTCATCGAAGGAGCTCACGAGCAATGTTGATGACCCAGAGCGGTCAAGAGTGCCCCGGCTAATCAAGGTTTATGTCCCCGTCAACGGCGTAGGCCCTCCGATGACTTAAAACTTAAAAACTTAACTTAAAAACTTAGCTAAAAACTAAAAACTAAAATTTAATAAATGCCTAATAAAATACTTAATAAATAAATAAACAAATAAATACTTCATAACTAAGTAATAAAGTACAAATAAAAAATTAATAAAACAATATAAAAAATTAAAAACCAAAAACTCCGAAAACTTAGGCCAAAAGGGATGGAAATGTCCGCGGTAGGAGTACAGGGTCCTCCGCAAATGAGATCAAATGGAAAGAGCCCTTCATTAATGTAGAGGGCCCCTTGGCATCCAGCCCCTGGATGCGTTGCCTTATATGGGCCTCAGCAACAGCAGAAGGCTGTCCGAGCAAGCGGAAAGAACCCGAAACCAATGTGAAGAGCCCCTAAGTAATTGAGTGCACACTGACAAATGGGGCCCCGGCAATAGCGTGTAGAGCCTCTCGGCTGAACGAGAAGAATCCGTGGGGTCCCCTGATCGATCAAGAGTACTGAGGAATGGAAGCAGGTAGCGTCCCAACAGCAGCGCTGGGCGCGGCGAGAAAATGCAGAGGTAAGAGGTAACGTGGAAGGCTCCTTAGCGATCAAATTGGCCCGGCAAGTGGGTATATAGGGCCCCGGCAACAGCGTGAAGCCTCTGGACAGGCAAATGAGCCTTAGAATGCCTCCAAGTCACCACTTTCTCAATGAGCGAAGAATTTTCCTTGTCTCCTCGGGGGCTTTCCACTTTCGGTTGCGACTGTTCTTGTTCATTTGGAGGCTCATTGACTTGCAATGGTGCTGCGTTTTGCGTCAGAAAACTCCGCCCGTTCGGCCGGTTATGGGAACGTTCCGGAGCCTGTGGACCCCTTTAAGGTACAAGGGAGAGCATACGATACAGGATGGGGGTAGCATAGCCCTGTGCCCCTTCCCTATGGATCCTCCACTGGCCCGAACAGCTTAACAGATGGACCGCGACAAGACCGCGGGGCGCTCCATTCAAATAAGTACTCAATACGCAATATTGGGGCCCCCGAACGCCCGAGCAGGATGCCCCCCCCCCCCCCCCCCCGACAGGAGCATAGGACATTTTATTCAAACACCAAGGCTTAATGTGAAGGGCTACCGAACAATCCATTGTACCCGAACAGCGTAACAGGTGGGCCTCCGACATGAGCGCAGGGCCCTTCAAGGAATTAGAAGTACCCACGACGCAATGTAGAGACCCCCAACGACTGAGTGTGCCCGAGCAGGTTATCAGATGGGCCCCCGACAAGTGCGTAGGGCCCCACGCAAGTGACAGGGAATAGAAAGAGGCCCTAGGCCAATGTAGAGGGCCCATGAGCATATTGCGAGTATGTCGGTAGGTTATTCGAGACCTACGTGAAGGCCCTCTGAGCAACAGAGAATGCCCCGGCAGTTATTATATGAGGGCCCCCGACTGTAGCGTATAGAGCCTTTCGGACGAATGGGAAGAAACCATGGAAGGCCCCCGATCGACAAGAGTGTCCTGACACGCCAGCAGAAAGGACGCCGATAACAGCGCAGGGCTTTCCGACTCCGGGGGGCAAGATATCGTGTCTTATCGAGCGTCTGGAAGCTGCTGGAGACGGTCATAGTTGCACAGGACGCGTGGCGCACCGGACGCGCGTGTCGAGCAGCCGGCGCCCGTCCGATCCGGCCGCTGTGGAGCCAGCATCAAGGTCAGTGGTGCGCGGGGTTGTGTGCGGGCTCGCAGGCGGCCGCCCGGCTCCAGCACTGCCGCGATCTCCCTGCCGGCTGGCAGAGCCGGGCGCCGTGCCCGGCCTCGCCCCGCCCCGTCCGCGGTATTGGCACGCCCCGACCCGGCGTCGATAGCGGCCTGAGGGGTGCAGCTAGCGGCGCGGCCGTGCGCCGCTCCTGGTCCGTCGCTCCTGGTGTGTCGTCCCGCTCCTGGTCCGCCGCTCCTGGTGTGTCGTGCTTATGGCGGTGCGGCCGCGGGAGGGTTGCCGGGGGGCTCACGGCGAGGACAGAGCCGTTGGCGGCGCGGCGGGCCGCGCCTCGACCACACGGGGGAGGGGCATCGGGGCCTGGGGCGAAGTGGGTACGGATCAACGTGGCTTGGCTCCAACTGCAACACAGTGAAGTTGATGTGGCTTTGGAGGCCAACTGAGGCGATCTGGCCATTTGCAAATGATCAGTATTACACTATCGATCTCTTGCGATTAGGCCCGTCCGATGATTCGACGCCCACTAGCATTAATAAGTTCTTTCGTCAGCCATTAGCCGATCACTGAGCTTTAAATAGGCAACGTCACAGATGAAGTGCTTTTTCGCCCTCGCGTGCGCGAGCATGTCAACATCTCTCACGGACATCAACACACACACACACACACACACACACACATATATATATATATATATATATATATATATATATATATATATATATATATATGAACGCCTATCGACATCTGCAGATACTAACACACCAGCCGGGGACAATAGAAGGAACGACTATTCCATCAGTAACACTGCTGACTTATTAGGTGTAATGTAATCTATGTTGATTAAGTCAATGCTATCGTCTCAACACTGCGAAAAACTGAAACTGCGGAAATTGAAGATATCTTACGTCCGCCAAGTGCAAAAAATGACAGCAATAGGTTTCACCAATGCTGTAAGTTTCATAAGCGTGGCGTCCGGCGCCTGCTCCGTGCTCAATCTCCGTGCACCTAATCTGAACCATAAGTTCTACGCTGTTCCTGGAGTGTCTTGCCGTGCTTGAGTTGGCCAACTGCGCGCCTGTTTCTCCGCATCTTACCAGCCACATCGCGGAAGGCAACACATGCGCGAGGTCCAGCGAAACTGCCGAATCACGGTCATTGGCGCCACCGGCCTCCCGCCGCGTGCCTCCTGCGCCGCTCGGCTCTCCAGGTTGGGACCACCCCAGGAGGCCTGCAGGCCCCGAGACCCCCCCCCCCCCCCCCTCCCGGGATAGGGGCCCGACATACAGGGGAAGGCGGCGGCAGCTCGGGCTGTCAATCGCTGTACCATGTTGACTGGCAAACAAGCAAGAAAATGGAAGCGGAAAGAACAGAAAAGGGCAAAAAAAAACTTCCAAGAAGTTAGGACAGGAACAGTGACGGTTTTTCATGTATCTTTAGAAGTTAACGACATCATGTTGCAATGTCGCGTTTGTCGAAGCTGGAGGCTGATGTTGGTATATTTGTGTGTCACCGCAGCTGCTTGAGCTTATCAGCTTTTGTTGGCAAGCGTCACGGCCCGCGCCCTTCACACCAGATCGCCCCAGATCGCGGTAGAACATCCCTGATGTGTGATCAGCTTTCCCGAACAACCGGCTCGTGAAAGTGACGAAGCCAGGATTCTCTGCCAGGCAGAGCCGAAGTCGGGGTAAAAGGGGGCCTTTTCAGCCAAGGTGACCCTGTTTGCTGCCCAGGGACTCCGCTGTCATGTGGAAGATCTTGTAAGGCTCGTTGTCCTCCGCTGATGCACGGAGAAGCCCCTATCAATATCTTAAACTGCCAAACCCTTCTGGGGTATTCGGCCTAGGGACCCCGCCAACCCCAGGGGAGGGGAGGGAAGGTGACGGTTCCCAAAGCTCCCTCTCGATTACGCCACTGGTTCCTGATATCATTGAAATGTAGCTTGCAGGTGACGACACAATGGGCGTTTGCGGCAAATGCGGTGCCTCATGCGCAATAGCCCTAGGCAAGTTCCTCATGAGCCTACTGGGCCTGGCGTGCGGTGGCGTGCTGTTGGAGTACGGGATCGCGGCGCTGCTTGACGACCGTGCGCCCCTCGCCGCCGACCTGCTGGGGACGAACCTGCACGCGGCCCTGGCGGTCATCGGCGCCGCGGCTGGAGGTCTGATCGCGACCCCTTAGTCTGACATGCTGCTGCTGCAGCTCCCTGTGGCCAAGGTGCTCGCTGTGCATGACCCTTCCTCTGCGCTGGGATGCTGCTGGTGCTGTGTGCCACAGCGGCGTGTGTGCCCGCCAGCTTGAAGCCGAAAGACCAGGACGGCTTCGCTGAGAGCATGAACAAGTCGATGGGCAGCTACAACTCGGACGCGTCTGTCCGGAACGCCCGGGACCGCCTCCAGCGCAGCCGCCACTGCTGCGGTGTGGACGGCTGCTCCGACTGGGCGCTCGTGATGGGCGACGGCCGGGTCCCGCTCTCCTGCTGCAGCACTGACGGCGGCGGCAACCCGGCCAGCTGCAACGCCACCAGCAACTCCCACCACAAGGGCTGCTTGGTGGAAATGCAGAAGTTTGTCGGGGAAATCGGCGTCTTGCCTGGGAGCGTATGGATCGCCATCGTTGCTTTCGCGATATTTCTCGTGATCAGCTGTTTTTTTGCGTTAAGATCCCGCGCCTCCGGCAGCCCTCAACGGGGTGCCGAGAGCGCCGTTCCACTGACGCAACAGCCGGCGCGCGCGTCCAATCTTCAGCGAAGACGGCCCGATGAATCACTACCGATCCTGCAGTGATTGGCTGAGATTCCCGGCCCTTGTGGTCCTGGGTCTTTTTATGTACCTGCAGCGCTTGATTTTGTCTCCATGCACGGGCTTAATGCCGAAAGCCTACACTGCTACGATGTGATCAGGATTCCCCCCTGGAAATGCACCGCCGCATTCCCTTCTTTCTCCAATAGACCAGCAATGACACGTGGTGAAAACGACGAAGATACGAGATGTGCACCCGTTTGTTAAGTGTATTTACCCAGAAAAAATAACCCTTTCGCCATCACGTACGGTGTTGTCATCTTGGACATTCCGCACTTCACAGCTGAAGTTTACCATCAGGTTCTTATGGGACGCAACTCGATGCTCGCAAAAAGTGCGCATATCATGGCAAACGCACACTTCGAGAAGCCGAAACACTGCCACTGCACAAGCCCGTTGCGGCGTTGAGTTGGGACGATCGTTCCGACACGGACGGAGCGCGCACGCTTATGTCAGGCAGCGACTTCACCGTAGCGCAACGTCGCCGGCCGCTGCGGGCTGCAGCGGGGCGAAGATACCCGCGCGGCGTGACGAGTCGTGCGACACTGACAAGGCCGAACACACACCCCGGCGACATGACTAAACGTGCAACGATCATTCGCTTGGCGTGAGCTTGCGTCGCCGCGTACATAATCATCACGTGACTGGCCGCGATATTTTCACGTGCCCGAACGCTCCACAACCCACGACACAACGTCCAGCGGTCACGTGACTGTGCGTCGGCCGTCACGTGACCGGACTCGTCTCGCGCGGCGCCACCGCGGGTCCCGTGGCCGCGGCAGGACGCCGGCGGCGGGTCACGTGGCGCTGGAGGAGCGCCGGCGGCGCCGTCACGTGACGCTGACCGGCTGAATCAGGTGGGCGGCCGAGACGGCGGCGTGGCGCACCCAGCGGCGCGTCTCCGCCTCGGGCACACCCGGCAGGCGCACGCCTGCCACGCGCAGGCCAGACACCGTGTGATCCGACACCTCCCAGCTGAGGTGGAACGGGCCCAGCGTCTCGGTGGCGCCCGACGCGTCGGCGTCAGTCACCTGCCGGCGGGGATCATGTCCGGAGATGCCGCACGCGGCGGATAGTTCACACTCCACACGTGCCGGACGCCAGGGGGCGCTCTACCTATGTTTGCAGCCCATTCACTTCTGTGGTGTCAAAAGGCAGATGCGTCACGAAGTGAACCTGCACACGACAAAACAAAAACGCTACGTAAGCTTTTAAAACGTTGAGAATGACATCTGCATGTACTCACCGCACAACAGACTCGCTTTGACGGACAGCACAGTCTCTTCACCGGGCGTGCTTCCTGGCGCGTGACGTCACGTGACAACGGCGCCATGCATGGGCGCGCTAAAGATAGCGTTCGTGCACAAAAGCGATGCGCAAACACCAGCACGGAGCGCGCGCATAAAACGGCGGCGGTAATGCCAGGGAACAGGAATCCCTTGTTATGCACCTTGGCGGGGTGACATGCCCAGCGGATTGCGGAGGGCTCCATCAGGCGAGTGACAAGTTCCGATGAGAGCGATTAAGGAGCGGGACGCGAGTCACGTCGGTCGATCCGGGTGCGTGTTGGCGCGTTAACACGCGACCGCGACGCAGGAGCCCGCTCCCGCCGCGCCCGTCGATGCCGGACGAGGGTGGAGTGCGCCACCTGCCTCGTCCGCCTCGCCAGACGGTTCGTCCAACCCGGTCGGCAGAGGGGCGACATAGTTCCGCCCCCCCCCCCCCCGTCCCACGCTGAAGATCGGCCGCCCGGCTGCGAGACCCCTCGTCAGGCATCTGGATGGAGTGGGTGGCTGGACTGAGCGGCTGGACGTACTGTGCTTCGGAGAGCCGTGGCTCGCTGAGGTGACCGTCGACAGCACGCTCCCGTTCCCGGGACACGTCGAGCGGCGGGTGCGTGCCCAGTCGGTGGAGCTGGCGGCCGTCGCCGCCGCGGGCGGGCTGGCTGCGACCTCGACCTCTGAGGGGACTAGGCAGGAGACAGTGTCGCCATCCTACACCGTGACACGCTGTCAATGGCGTCCCTGCCCGTGTCATCCACAGGTGCTTGACCGGAGTCGCTCTGGCTCCGGCTGAAGTGCCGGAGGCCTGTCATCGTCAGCGTAACATACCGTCCTCCAGGCGCAGCGACAGTCATCGATGATCGGCAGAGCCAGCTAATGCTCATCTTGTCAAAAGAAGAGCCAAGCTACATCCTGCATGACACCGACTTCGACATTCTCCGTTCCGATAACCTTGGGTGACACCCGATATCCAAGCGATCAGTGACCTCTCACTGAGTCAGTTCATTACCTCTCCGACTCACCCTGGTTCCAGCCCCGCCGTGACTGATCACACCATTACCAACACACCGGACCCGACACCCGATGTGCGAGTACAAGCCTGCAACAGCAGCGACCACGACCTGACCTCACTGTCTGTGACCGCTGCCAGGATACGACAGCAGCCGTCGGGAATGTTGGTCCGGTGCGCACGACGCCTCAACCGCGGCGTCCTGTGTCTCGACCTTCTATGTGCCGATGGGAGCTCGATCCATGAGGCGGGATCCACGGCTGTCAAATGGGACGCTTGGCTGCCAGTTGGGGATCCGATCACTGATCCCAAACTGGCAGCTGCGCCGCAGGGAAAAGATGAAGCACCCGTCCTGCCTCTGGCTTCTAGATGGTAACGCCAGAGCTGCCACGGACGAACAGGACCCGACGCGCATCGACAAGGAAAAGACTTCATGCGTGGAAGTTGCGCGGGAGTCTAGACTTCGCCGAAATGCAGCAGGACCGTATCAAATTGCGTATGCTCTTCATACCATCCGACGTCGTCCAGAACCTCAAGATCTACAAGATGGAGAGGCATCCGTCGTTTCTTAGCGTCTTCCAACAAACCCGAGCCAAAGCCTACCAACCCGGCCGAACAAGACCGAGAGCAAGATCTACGCTATGCCAACAAACTGAGCTAGTTCTTCGCATCCGTGGGTCCCGGCATGGCGGGCGCCCTGGCCGCGTCTCACGTTGGGGAGACCCTCTCGCCGCACCCGCCGCGCCTGTGCAGCGGTGCGCTTGCCCTGATCCCGACTACACTGCTGGAGCTGTCGGCGGCAGTGCGGCGGAGGGGCTCGTGCCGCACATGTGCAGCGGACGGCATCACCGTCAGTATGCTGAGAGCGGCTTCCCCTGTGGTGGGTCCCAATCTCCTCCGAGTCATTAGCGCCTCTCCTGCCACTAACGAGGCACCACACCGGTGGAAGGCCGCTTCGGTGGTGCCGCTGTACAGGACAGGTGATCCCACTGATCCGAACAATCATTGACCCATCTCCATCTTGACAGCTATGGCGTTGTTGCCAGCGATACGAACGCGTGGTGTGCTGTCAGCTGATGAATTACTTGCGCCCGCATAACATCTTATGCCCTCAGCAGCGTCGTTTCCACCCAGGTCTCTTCACTGAGGTGGCCATGCTCGACGCTGTCACATAAGTGCTTGAAAACATGGACTATGATGGTGACGTCACTGCTCACCGCCGATCAATGATGGTGACATCACTGGTCACCACCTACATATGACGGGGACGTCACTGGTCACCACCAGCACGTCCAAGGCATTTGACAGCATTGACCATGGCTGTCTTCAGTAGAAGCTGGGATGGTACGGCATCGATGCCACGTGGTGTGGTGTGTGGCTCCAGGGTCGCACACAGTCGTTACGAGGCGGAACAGAACGACTTAGAGGGATATCTTGACCTCCTCTTCGTCAGGAGATACACGAATATTGTGTCCAGTGTGACGCCTTTATCTGCGTTGCTTGTTTGATCTGTGGCTGTGACTGTGATATCGCATGTACCACGACGTGGAAGCTCGAAAATCGAATTTACCACATAGAGCCGTTCCGGACCAGAAGACTTGTTCGTGGCCCTGCCCCCTCTCCCCACTACATCCGCTCACTTACCCGCAGCTCAGCGGTAGTCTCCTGCTGCCCACACAGCTCGCGCACCGTCCACGTCACCAGCGCCGTCTGTCGGCAGTGGCGAACAGTGCCGCTTCCGGCACCGCCGCAAGCGGCGCTCACGCCGCTCGCCTCGGGCGGTGGCCGGAACTGCAGACTGAGCGAGGGCGCGCGCCGCTCGGCCGGCGCCAGCAGCCGCAGCCGCAGCCGGAGCAGCAGGTCGGCCGACGGCGGAAGCCGGGCGGCCGACACGTGCACAGCCAGCGGCGGCGGCGCCCGGGCCGCGGCGCAGCCGTACTCCAGCAGCGTCAGCGGGCCGGCCGGGCCGCTCAGCCAGCGCGCCTGGCGTCGCGCCGACGGGTGCAGCCGGCGCACGTGCACCTGCGGCCCGACGTGCGCCTCGACTGCGGCAGCGACGGCGGCGGTCAGTCTGATGCGGGGATGGGTCGGCAGCCGGCACCGCAAGGCCCCGTGTCAACGAAGCGGCAAAGACTCAGGTTGGTGGGGACGATGGGAGTTGGCGAAAAAACGAAGTGCGCAGTTAAAGCGGGCCCTCCATAACGGATGGAGAGAAGCGGTCGGTGTGAGGCTGGTTGCTGGTTGCTGGTTGGTTGGGAGTCGACGGTTGCAAGCAGCTCCACTGGCGCCAAGATGGACACATCGGTTCTGACAATGGAACGAACGGGTACTGATGGCTCCAAGAGGACGAGCAATGGAAGGACAAATATATCAGTATAACGTCAGAGTCACTGCATCACAGAAATAAGTGCCACAGTCTACAAAATGTCAGCAGGACCACTGCTGGCGGATTCAACTACAACTGCAACACCACCACCTGTAAATTTTCATCTGTGAAGTTTTTTGTCTCGCTATGATGTGGCGACTGCAGCGCTAAGCCAACAGTCTTTTCACCTCTGGGTTTCGGCCATGATTTTCAAGTACTGCAGCGTTACCAGCTGGCAACGCAGTCAGGCTGCTATTTAGTCCGCAGAGAGGTCGAGCAAGACATGGTCGGGGAAGTCATTGAAAACCATCACATCACCGGGCAACATCCTCCGTGATTAGACGGGCAAAACAATAGAAAATATCCCATGGATGAGGCGAATCGACCCACCAATCACCACACTCCGCAGCGGGTCCCCTATGCAAGGTTCTGTAACACGCGTCACAGGGGAAGAACGAGAGAAAAAGCCGCTGACCGGGCGCTCCGAGCTCCAGGAGTCGAACGTCCTCGGCCAGCGCCACGTCCACCTGAGCGCAGCCGGCGCCAGCCGTGCGCACCTCCAGCCGGCCGGTGACGTCACACTTCTCCAGACCGCCGTCCGGCGTCATCACACAGTCTGCCGACACGGTACAGTGACGTCACACCACAGCCGGTGCCAGCCGTGCGCACCTCCAGCCGGCCGGTGACGTCACACCGCTCCAGACCGCCGTCCGGCGTCATCACACAGTCTGCCGACACGGTACAGTGACGTCACACCACAGCCAGTGACGTCACACCGCTCCAGGCCGCCGTAAGGCGTCATCACACAGTCTGCCGATACGGTACAGTGACGTTACACCACAGCCGGTGATGTTACGCCGCTCCAGGCCGCCGTCCGGCGTCATCGCACAGTCTGCCGACACGGTACAGTGACGTCACACCACAGCCGGTGACGTCACACCGCTCCAAGCCGCCGTCCGGCGTCATCAGTCTGCCGACACGGTACAGTGACATCACACCACAGCCGGTGACGTCACACCGCTCCAGGCCGCCGTCCGGCGCCATCACACAGTCTGCCGACACGGCACAGTGACGTCCCACTGTCGATCTTTTGCCCTCATCAATCAGTGGGCGCGGTTGTGACGGAAGACCACTCCTATGGCATTACACGTGCCACCTGGTAATGACGTTGCACCACTCCTATGCGCCATCCAGCATCAGCATACAGCCCACGGACCTGCCCAGGTCACGGCACAAACACAGACTCTGCGTGCCACTCTGACGTCAAAAGGCTCCATGTCATCTTCCGTCATCATACGCATTGCAGATACATTGTTGTGACGTCACGGGGTGACCATCCAACGCCGATCCCACTTTCCCTGGCATGCACCAGGTCCACAGCGCATTCACATGCTCGCCAGCTCCACAGCGCGTCCAAATTTCGACCCGACTCCACAGCGCGCGCACGTACCGACCGACTCCACCACATCCACGTAGACGGTGTGCTTGGCGCTGGAGGCCGGGTCGGCGTAGCCGGGCGAGGCGGGTGACTTGAGGTCGGCGGCCAGGCTGACCCGGGGTCGCGACAGCAGCAGCGAGCGCAGTCGGCCCGTGTCGAGCGCCATCATCAGACCGTCCTCCTGCGCGCGTCGAGCGGGCGTCATCACCAGGGACAGGGGAGTCATCAGGGGCAGGAGGGAGTAACCATGGTTGGGGGCGTCACAAGGGACAGGGGAGTCATCAGGGGCAGGAGGGAGTAACCATGGGTAGGGGGCGTCACAAGGGGTAGGGGACGACACCAGGGGTAGGAAGCGTCACCACGGGCAGGGGGGGGGGGGGGGGGGCGAAACCACACCTTTCATTGGGGTCGGACACCCAATGGTGGCGGTGGGCAGGCATCCCGCAGGACGTGCCAGACGGGTGCGTGACATCAGCAGATGACGAGTGGCCGCGGAAAGCCCACGTCTTCCTGTTGTGAACGGACGTTCGGAGAGGGTGAGGTGCTTATGGCAGCAAGGAGTGTGGGAGTAGACTTCTAGAGGCAGCACGTTCAGCTATTACAGCAGCAGATTAGGAGACTACCAGCGGCGGCATAAGGTATACGGCCACACGGTGGTGCAACATCCTACCAACGACAGTTACGCAAGGCAGAGCCCAAGACAGTTCAGATACACCAGTTCTTCGGGTTACGTCGATACCGACGGCAGCCCTCCAGCTTCTGAATGTGCCACAGACTGCATTCACACAAGCACGAGCCACGAGCCCGACTCGGACATACCGCACCTGACAACCCCTCTCCATCTCAAGCCGCCTCGCTCACCTCTCACCAACAGCTCGCCTCTAAGCCCGCTCCGCCCACCCCAGCTCTGCGTTAACCCCGCCCACTCTCCCTGCCGCCTCACCATGACCTCAGCGGCCAGCTCGCGGAGGGTGACGTGGTTGGCGCACAGGGCCGACTCGGTGGCGCCGCCGCAGATGGCGCGCACCACCTCCCGCAGCGTCTGCAGCCAGACGACCACCTGGAGGGCGGGCAGCGCGCGGCCCGACACGGCCACCCAGCGCAGCCCGTCGGCCAGCACGTGGTAGAAGTGCTCGCCGCTGTGGCAGAACTGCGAGACGTGCCGGTGGTCAGCGGAAGCAGAGACGCGCGGGATGGCTGAGGGTTCTGCGTGGGCTGTGGTTTACGGGAGAGTCAGCCGCGAGAGGCATTTTATATGCCACGTGTCTGAAGAGAATGGCACCAGAAGCAGTGATATGCGACATGATGATGTAGCGATGGACCATGTGTGGCAATAGATCATGCCCCAGGACAGTGCTAACGTAGGGAAACGGTCACGGCTCAAGGGCGATGCGTTAGCCCGTGGACGCCGTGGGGTGGGACGCGGTGGTGCCGGCGAGTCGCACGCTGATCGTGTTGCGGGTGGGCTCGAAAGGAGTATAAGAGGTGCTGCTCAGGGCACGTAGAGTGAGTCTCTCTGTCGGTATTGCGTGGGCAGTTCGCCATTGTGTGCGGGGTGGTCCGCCGCGATGTGATCCCGAATACAGATGATGAGGGTTTGGGATTTATTTGTGACTTCAACACATACCTATCAAACATGATAGGTAACCTGAGCCAGTGAAGCTGTAAGAGGACAGGGGTGGGATAGTCAGGGCACAGGAAGGATCATATGCCAAAAGGATGGAAAAAATCTTATGCCAACAAGCACTGCTTCATTGCATAGGAGAAAACTTGACTCCTGACTCTGGATACACAATTCAATCAAGAAGTAATGAAAAAACTGGATGACTTACATAAGGTGGTGATTCTGGCTCTGTTCGGATCACATTGTAAAACAGCCTGTGGCTGGGTTGACTGGGATCATTGCAGTACAGCCCTGAAACAGAATACATGCAATGCATTGCTACAAAGCCAAATGCAATTGTGTTGTCCCCTAGTTTCCAAACAAGCCCAATGTCTCAAATAGCTTTATAACAAGTCTAAACACAGAGGTAGCATAAACTAGCTAAAATATTTGCTGCTGGGTGGATTCAACCATCAAAATGAGCTGACAGCAACTACTAGTGGCAAAAATTCAAGATACTTTTGGCTGTTTACTTAAACTGATGTAAAATGAAAATGGTTGAATATAATCCTAAATGCGATACAAATGCACTTTTATGCAGCAAATCATTTGCACTGCATATGCGCAACAAATTTGCAGCACCAGCCTGTAATCAAATACAAGGACTTCAGCCATATTTGATGATGATCACTTTGATGCTCACATTATACACCTACAAATTATGGCCCGCAGTAGAAAAAATATGACCTATTGATGATCTTTCATGACTTGTAATGAATTAAACCACACCTCTGAATGATTGTGCCCACATTCTAGCCTCTTTTGATAACAATTGTTATCAGAGCAATTTGCACAAGCACATAGCAAAAACCACACAAGCACATATTTTGCCTAATATCATACAGCAATTTTCTTGACACCTACTATAGTAAACACACCACACATTTTGATCATGTTGATGCAATTAGCGAATTCTTTTAAACCTCCATGAAAAACATGAACACTTGGGTCAGATTAAAGAAAAAAACATAGGTACTTCAAACACACTCAACCAGGAAGGAATTGGTGTAAACATTGATTTCCATGCAACATTGCTGACATTATCAGTCAAACAATGGAACACGTTGTAGGCCTGTTGGCAACCATGACCTAATGGCACAGTCTATTTGGTATTGATGAATGAGGAAATGGTGAAGCCAGATAATATCAAATATAATGTCACAGCCTATGGGAATGTAGTTTGACACCCAATTAGACTTACAAGCATAAGGCATCTTTATTTGTAAGTTTTATCACATCACATAACAGCAGATCACTGACCAAGAAGCATGCCTTTCTCAGAATTGAGACAAATTGTCAGCCATATCACATAAAAATGGCTATCTCACATTGCTCTTATTTTGGGAGATGCTTTAGTCCAGTCACTTCTTGCACATATATTCTCCTAACTATGCCTATGTGGACTGGTGCATCCAAAAATCTAGAGCTGCCACAAAACCTTATTAGTCAGTCACATTGGTAATCTGTTGCAGAGAAGAGCACTTGTGTGGGCAGTCATATAGCATGCAAGCTTTACAAGTTCAAGCCACATTGCAATGCGTAATACTGCAGAAAAGCCATACATCAATGCCTACAGACATTAGTCCCCAAAGCTCAAGCTTTTGACACCACCAGCATAAATTAATCATACATATCCTTCAGACTATACATTTGCCTGATCTTGCAACTGGGCACTGTAAAAGATGCCTAGTCACATATTCCTCACCAACTAGTAATATTTTTTTTTCTGGAACTAGTTGTATGACATTTTGGGAACTTTTATGTATGCAATTACTTTAGCAATATAGTTCCTCCACACTTTGGCTCTCTAGTAGACTATGCTCGTGGTCAATGTGCATTGAGCTCTAGTGTTCAGCTTTAAAGAGACACATGCGCTAAGATTGTTACTGCGATGTCGCTGCTACAGCTGACACGTTTTGGGTACGATGTACTTTTTGCGGTATGATCAGTAACCACTTCCAACTACTGACCTTTTTCACGGAATATCACATGACCTTTGCGGTTCGTGACAAATATCTCTTTCAGCATTTTCTATAACATGCGTGCTCACGAACAGACTTGGTAACGCCCCCCTTCAGCCCAAGCAAAAATACGATTCTATGCAAAGCATTGTAACTATGTCTTCGTCCTTTTCCGGAGATAGTGGTTACTAATATCGTCTCAGGAGCGTCATGATGCCTTGAATTCCAGAAAGCTTCCATATATAAAGGAAGTATTCCAGGTTTTCAAGGTTTCCTTCCACAATAAGACGCTTATAACATATAACATAAAATTGCAAAAACGTATTTTTCCTTTATCTTAAAAATTCAACTCTAGATGTTTGAGAACAGCTTTTTAAAGGTTGAATCGCTTTTATTTATTAAGCCATTTATTATATATTTTTACAAAAGCTAGGAACTATGGTTTAATTTTGACCGCACGAATCCGCAGCGCAACTGCAGCCGTCGTGGCCTATTGTTTGGCATATTGTGTTGGTCGGTCCGGCGGGGGTGTTGTTCCGTGCGGGGTGGCCGATTTTTTGTCGAGGGGAGGCGTTTGTGAAGGTTTGCTGTTAAGATTTGGCCACGATAGCAAGGGACGACCAGTGTGTATTCATCTGGACTTTCGCGAAACCCACAGTCATCTCCAATTCAACCTGAGGTTGATTCCAATTTGAGCGGATCTTTCACGGAAAAGAGTGCGGAGGCACGTCTTATAACCAGAATCCTACTTTATCTACAATGAATCCAGAATAGTAAGTGCACTTGGCATCTTGTATGGTGCTCCAAGTTACTAGCTTGGTCTACTTTATTTGCCCAGCTACTGAAGGTGTAGTTAGGGTGGAGGCCTTCAAAGATACATAAGTATAGCCTCCAGGGTATGGTAACCCACTTAATTTTGTACTCTAATGGTTTCATTCCTGACACTGTTCTGAGTAACACATGCTTTGTGACCCATGGCTTGTGGACTTACTTCTGTTGACTTGATGTGATTAGCTCAAACACTTACACACGTTTAAAGAAATCAATTTCATCCATAATCAACACAAATTTGTTTGGTCCTGGAGTCAGTCCTAGCTCCTTTCAGGTTAATGTGGAATTATGTGCATAATATGTAAGCATTACCTCATTGTTCCTGAGTGAGATGTTTTATCCCCATCAATCCTTGCTCAGCTGCAGCATCATTAGGTAATTGCCTCATGCCAGGCCTCTGTTTCAGTGACTACTTGTTCAAACTGCTGCTAATTGGGGATTCAGGAGTGGGGAAATCCTGCCTCCTTCTTAGATTTGCGGTAAGTTCATGCAGAAACTGTCAAGTCAATTTCCATCATTTACCCACCTCCATATTCAGCAGTTTTTTATTTTGTTATGTTGCTTATTCATCTATGGCTTGTCAATCTTTGATGTCTACAGTCATCTCTCTTTCAAGGTATGAGTTTTGTATTGCAGTAAGCCCAGTATAGTCTGGAACTTGTACCAAAGCTATTGCACAGCAGTTTTGATATGTTACTGACCCAGGGCTCTCCCCACAGGATGACACCTATACTGAGAGCTTCATCAGCACAATTGGTGTGGATTTTGTGAGTAGTGAGCATGAATGAGAGGGCTGCATGAGACCAGCACTGCTTTGCTTGCTATGGAACTGCACCCCAGTGTGGTGGTTTAGCTGGTTCCTCACATGTTAGATAGAGTTTGGTCCATTTTGAAGGATGGTTAATGCTGCATTGGTGTGAAAGGATAAATTTGTGCTACCACTACACTCATTCCTGTGAATTCTGGCAGCTGGATGCACTTAAAGTGGGAGAACTTTCAAAAACTGATGTCTGACTGAAATTTACATTTACATTCCATTGGAAATTTATGGAGGACAAAAACCTCATCCAAGAGTCAAACATTACATGGCGTATGCCGGATTGGGTTACTCCCTATCCCTCCTCAACAGAGGATAAGCAAGCAAGCAATCAAAGAAATTCTCTTTTAGTAGTTTCAGCCACCTTGGGCTCTCGCCGCCGTACCCACGTAAGTCAAGTGTAGAGGCGCGCCAGCGTGCGCCAACATTGCCCGCCGCATTCCGTCGCGTATTCTCGATTCGGAACTGCACGAGCTCGGCATGTGATGGCGGGTGAATCACAGCTGGTTAGGCCAGCTGACGATACGGTGAACTCTGAGCTAAGCATCGGCTACATACGCCGGGCTGCGGACGGGACGCCGTTCAGCGGGCGCTGGGGACGTGAACGCGGTCGGGGATCGGGGCAGCGGGACGGCCCATTGGGGCCTGCGTGTCCAGTGATATTTACTCAATAGATTGACATGGTACGCTATTTTTTTCGAGCCATGCGTTCCCATCGTCATGAGGACATCTGATGTTGACCTTTCCCCTGCAGTGGTTTGCTTTGTTCGCGACCAAGCGGCCATTCTGTCTTGAGTCAAGTCCTGGTTCTGAGCGGGTGCTCTCCTGTACTGTGCGTTCTCTTTCCACCGGTGCAAACGCCAGGCGTGCGCATTACGAATATCAAAGCGACGCGCGAGGTCGAACCCGACGCGATTGCGAGCGGGCTCAGTGCGCGTGGTTTCGAGTTTCGTGCCCGCCCACGGCGACCAGACAGCCCGAGGCCACGGCTGTGGAGGTCACGCGGCGACGCGGCGAGCGGCGGGCCGGCCCGAGCAGACTGGCCGGGGGTGGGCACATACCGTCAGGTCGGTAAACACCGGCCGGTATGTCTGGGGCCCCGGATGGTCACGTGGGAGGCGCCCCTCCAGGACGTGCAGTCGAGAATGCGGGCTAGTGCCGGGACGTGACCTGCGCTAGGTGTGTCTGATGTCTGCGGACCCGCCGCCGTTTGACCGCGCCGCGTTTGAAGCGTTGATTGCCGAGGCCCGGCAGCTGGGCGGGTGGTTTGGAGGCGGCCGCTGTCCGCTGCAGCGGGACGGCCCGGTTCGAAGTGCCCCGTGTCTGGAGTAAGCAGTTTGGGCGAGCACGTACCGCCTGACTGGTGATCCGCCGCGATCAGCTGACAATCGACGGAGCCCTTGACAGGAAGATTTCGCCACCGGGGTGTTCGCCCTGTAGGAAGCTGGAACACTCACTCACTGAGAAGACACCGCGACAGGCACGGGTCATCTTTCGAGCCGCACTGGTCGCCCTCACAAGCGTCTGATCGCCGCGCTCGCCGGCAGCTCAGGCCCTGCCGGCTGTCCGTGTGCCACCGCCCTACAGCTCAGCCCCTGTCGGCTGTCCATGTGCCACCGCCCTACAGCTCAGCCCCTGTCGGCTGTCCGTGTGCCACCGCCCTACAGCTCAGCCCCTGTCGGCTGTCCATGTGCCACCGCCCTACAGCTCAGCCCCTGTCGGCTGTCCGTGTGCCACCGCCCTACAGCTCAGCCCCTGTCGGCTGTCCATGTGCCACCGCCCTACAGCTCAGCCCCTGTCGGCTGTCCGTGTGCCACCGCCCTACAGCTCAGCCCGTCGGCTGTCCGTGTTCCACCGCCCTATAGCTCAGCCTGTGTCGGCTGTCCTTGTGCCACCGCCCTATAGCTCAGCCCGTGTCGGCTGTCCTTGTGCCACCGCCCTTTAGCTCAGCCTCTGTCGGCTGTCCGTGTGCCACCGCCCTGTCACGCACGGTTACACTTCCAGGCCACGAGGGCCGACCCAACTGTGCACCCTGCGCTTCCAGACAGTCTCACCTGTTTAGAGCTGTTTGGAGCTCGCGCGCGCACCGGCTGGTCAGCTGCCATCGGCCAGCACCGCCCGCTCCGGAAAAGCGCGCCCGGGCCCAAACAGCTAGGTCGCTGCCTGGACGCGCCCCCTGGATAGTCGTGGGGCGAGGGACATGCTCCGGTGGTCCTTAGCAGCATGCAACCTTTGACGCGGCAGTATCCCAACTCTGCTGCCACAACCCTCCAGCGTCTGTCGTTCAATGCGTTCAAATGTTGCCCATGACCGTCCTGTGCCCACGCCGCCGTCATCGCTCAGAGGGCGGTCCCACCATGCTGACCGCCCCCCCCCCCCCCTTCGCCCCGCCCCGCCGGCAGAAAATCCGCACGATCGAGCTGGACGGGAAGACGATCAAGCTGCAGATCTGGGACACGGCCGGCCAGGAGCGCTTCCGCACCATCACCGCCGCCTACTACCGGGGCGCACACGGCATCATCGTTGTCTACGACTGCACCGACCAGGACAGCTTCGCCAACGTCAAGCAGTGGCTGAAGGAGATCGACCACTACGCCACCGACAACGTCAACAAGCTGCTGGTCGGCAATAAGTGCGACCTCACTACCAAGAAGGTGGTTGACTTCGCCACAGCCAAGGTGAGGTTCGGGATGCTCAGTTGCTCAGATGCTCAGTTCAGATTTGGGTGGATTTTCAAGTTGGGTGTCACCGCTGGCGTTTTTCATCTCGCTGCCGCGTCTTAAATGACATGTCTTGGTCAACGTTAGCGGTCGTTATTCTCACACCTATGCAACTCCAGACCACGTTTTGGGTGATCCTCGTAAGATGCCCGTATTGATGCTTTGTGCTGCAACGTGTTGTCATAGGACACTGCTCAACGGAACCCAGGAGGAGCAGAGTCCAGCGCCCGTGTCCTTAACCCGCCGTCGGCGTGGCCTTTGGCTCCCGGCCGTCCTCATGCATACGACAGGCATCTATCTATGACTTCCCAATTGACCCCTGACCTTCGGGGCCCGTGGATGTGCACCACCTGTCTGAACACCTGATAACTTGCCGCTCCTCGTCTGACCTTTGCGCCTGGAGACGAATCCCATCCAGCCGTCTCGGATCCACCCGCGGCCTCTGACCCTCCGTTCGGAGGAGGTGTGAGCCCCCCCCCCCCCTCCCTTCGGACGAGCCGACCGACCTTTGGCCTCTGCACCGGCTGCAGATGTGCTCCGGCGAGCCTCCCGGGACCCGGCGCGGATCGAACCGCCCCAAGATTCGTGGCGATTGTACCGTCGCTCTTGCACTAAATCGATGAATTTGCAGTGGCCGACGTTTGGTGGTTGCCTGCTCGGTTACTTAAGCAGTGGACTGCACGGCGGCATGGGTTTTGGCAGAGTCTTGCTTGGTTTAGGCCACAGCGCGTCTTATTCGCGACCGGTCAACACCAGCCTGACCTCGGTGACTCGTTGGCCGGTTGCTGGCACATCTGGGGCTGGGGTCGGAAGAAGAAGGCGGCGGCGTGATTAGAATGCTGAGTGACGCGTACAGGGAGTATTGGTGCGCCACATGCATCGGGTTTTATACACCCGATCCGGCTGCCACTCTGACGTAAATCCTTAAAATGGCGGAAAACGGGCAGGCGAGTCCATTATGCGCGGGCGAGTGAGCATTCCCGGGCACACCCTCTGCCCTGCGCTTTTGCCAGTGCAGTTATCCGTTCTCTCCCACGTCAAGCAGCTTTAGTTTCGTATCCCAGCCACGCTGGGTCGTTGAACTGTGGACCCGGCTTCGGCCCGCCGCCTTCAGATAGGTGGTGCAGGTTCCAAATATAACGCCCCCTTCCATGCTAACAAAATTGAAAAGCGGAGCTCTGTCATCTTGCAATATTGCCAGAAATGGCGCCTGATTTAGACAGTTTGTGGGTCGCATGGCTTCAAAGAATCGTCTGTCTTGTTGCTGAGTGCTGCGTGAAATTGCGGTCTGTTGTTGCGAAATTGCTGCGTCTAGAAAGTCGGTGGCTGAGCCGGACTCCCCGAGCAAACAAATGTACAACACCCTGTGGACATCTGTTGGGGCCGCGGGCTCGCTAATTATTGGACCTCACTTATGGAGGCGCACGGAAGGAACGAACCTAAAATATACTACTTCTTGCGCCCATCTGGTGGGGTTTGGGGGGGGGAGGGAGAGGGCTTGCTACTAGCGAGCCTCTGCCCCACCTGCTGCCGTGTCCGCGGGCGTACGCCTTACTCCCAGTCCCCCTGCGACGGTGGTGCCGCTCTCGCCACCAGCTGACCTCTGCCCCGCCCCATGTCCACAGGCGTACGCCGACCAGCTGGGCGTGCCGTTCCTGGAGACGTCGGCCAAGTCGTCCACCAACGTGGAGCAGGCGTTCATGACGATGGCGGCCGAGATCAAGGGCCGGGTGGGGCCGGGCTCGACGGCAGAGCCGGCCGGTAGCCGCGTCCTCATCCAGCAGGGGCGCGACGTGCAGCCGGACAAGGGCGGCTGCTGCTGAGCGCCGGCCGAGGTCAGTCCAGGTCACGGCTCAGGGGGAGGAGCGGGGCTCGCCGGGTGGGGAGGGTGCGGGGAAGTCGCGGGTAGGTGCTGATGGTGAGGTAGCGAGGTAGTGCCCGAGGCGGTGCTGCAGGGTGGAAGGGAGTCCGCGTGGCTCGTGGCCACTGCCATCTGGGCCGAACGCGTCCCCTTGCTGCGTTCCACGTGGGCTCACGAACGGACAAACTGTGATGCGCACCGGCGCACCAGCTCACGCGTTGCTCCTCTCGCTTCCGCCTCAGGATCATAGGCAGATAATATCAGTTTTCGTATGGCAATACGGGATAGTGTTGGGAATGCTGTACTCTGGTCTCCGGCTGCATAAGCAGCATCTCCGCGGTGGGACGAAGTCCGCCGCGTGCACAAGCGCTTGTCATCAGCTCGGTCAGAGTCCAGTGATGGCTGCCACACGGAGCCCTATCGTACCTCGCGCCCGCGCCCGCTGAGGTGGCTGAATGGCGGGTGCCTGTTACAGCGCGTTAAGTTTCAAAGTGAGTGAAAGGTAGCGATATTTGGTAAAGTTATCCGTGGTGTATTATCAGAATACCGATCATCACCCTTGTCGAGTATCTTGTGCGTGTTGCCCCCGCTCAGCAGTCTCCCGCTCTCTCGGGTGTGTCTGCCGGTGTGCCTGCAGGTTCGTCATTGGGTGTGTCTGCAGGTGTGTCTGCAGGTGTGTCTGGAGGCGTGTATGTGGGCGTGTCTGCGTGTGTGTCTGCAGGTATGTCTGCAGGTATGTGTGGAGCAGTGTTGGAAATTCGAAAAACTTGCCTGGTAGCGGAGTACAAATTTTCTATAGTGGAGTACAAAATTATCCAAGTGCTGCGGGTCATTATAGCTTTATTTAGGTTATCTTTGGGAGATGGTAGTACAATGGGCGGCACTCAACGAAAGCGCCACTTTTTATGTGTAGTAATTCATGTAAAAACACTCTAAATGAAAGAAAACATTAGTATTAAACATGGCACACTGAAACAACACAGTCCCATACTCTGTACCATGAAACACATGTGCATATACAATGGTTCGCAATTTGTGGAAGGCTCTGTGTATACACCATCCAAAACGGAGAGTAATTACGGATCGGGCTTATACACTCTCCAAAATGGAGGGTGGCTACACACCGGGCTTATACACCCTCCAAAATAGAGGGTGGGTACGATGCGCACAGCCAGAAAAAAATGGTGCACAAAAAATGCAAATGAACATGCCACAGACGGCCACCTACTCATGCTCCATTTCGATCACGCTACTCACGCCCCTCCACGGTCACGCTACTCACGCCCCACCAGCTAACTGGTTTTAAAAACAGCTAAACATCCATGCCCTCCACCTTCCCACTCCCGGTCAACACACGAGGCCCTGCACGTCCCACCCAAACAATAGATACAGGCAGCACTCTTAACCGATTTACCGAGCCGGCGCAAGTACAATGCCTGGCAGACCCGTGTAGGCCAGCAAAAAGGGATCGGAGTCAGTCACTCCGCTGACTCCGGTGGATAATGCAAGATATTTATGGATTTTGATGTGCTTTAACCAATGTCATTGCGAAATATGATAATTTATGTTGCAATTGATTGATGTTTTTGTCCTAATAAACCCCTCTCCTTAATTTGCCGGCCAAAGTCATGGGTTCATGTTACTCTGGTGTCCTGGTGTTTTTGCCGGAGTGAGATGGCTGTCTCAGAACAGTTTTTTGGCTATTTATAGCAACGTTTTTTGACTTGAAAGGATATTTTTGTAAAGCCTGAATTACCAGCTTCGGTTTCGCACCCTTAAGTGGCAAATTTAACTTGGTTTAAATCCACAGCTGCCATAACGTTTTTGTACTCCGGATACCAGAAAGTGACCAAAAATCCAATCACATGGCGGTTCTGGATGAGTACAAATAAGTTCTTTATAATCGTGATACCCATCTCTATACAGCTTTCCTCCAAATGTTTACAAATCTGTTCAAGGCATGAGCGCGAACAGAATATTTATACTATTGACAAATCAGTCACGAGGAGGCGAATCATTAAAACCAATTGGAGAGTTTTGCTATATTCAACCTCCAACCTGAGCTGGGAGGCGGGCGCAAGCCGCTGAATAGTTGAGACGTTTCCGACGCTGAATTGCGAGTGATTCTCTTATTTGCATTGCCATGACACAGTGGTGGCGCGTGGGTAGGCGGTCGTCTTCGGTAGGTGATTTGGCGTGCGGTTTTCTATGAACGTTCGTTGCATCCTTGGCAATTAATGCGGTTCGTCGTCAATGGCAGGTTAAGTCATGTTCAAGTTTGAGATGGTCTGCATAGGGCATAGGAAGTGAGAGCTTTGCTAATCTACAGACCGGTGCGATTCTGGTGCTCGTTTCTCATTTCCCGGTATTGTTCAAAGACGATTCCATTCAACATTCAAACGCTTTATTTTTCTTATTTCCATACATGGTTTATCATATACCTAGGTGGCAACACAGGCTGCTTGCTATTGGGCATCTTAGGCGGGTGGGTGCGAGATTTGTGCTCTTGCAGATATCAATACATGACTGTATTTGGAATTCTGATGGAAGCAGCTAGTCTCAAGCCGTTGCACGTTCTGGTTTATATTGTCCTGACACAAAAAGGTAAAACGAGTTTTTCCAGAAGCTGTTCTTGTTGCATCATGATAAGGTACAACATGTTTCAGTTTACCTAGTCACAATCCTGGAGTACAAAATCTCCTGGTATACATTACGCCAGGAAACGTCAAGTTTTCCAACACTGGCCTGGACGCAGCTGACGGAAGCAGACGCGTCTGCGGGTGTGTGCGAGTGTGTCTGCAGGTGTGTCTGCCGATGTGTCTGCAGTTATGTCTGCAGTTGTGTCTGCCGGTGTGTCTGCCGGTGTGTCTGCAGTTATGTCTGCGAGTGTGTCTGCAGGTGTGTGCCGGTGTGTCTGCAGTTATGTCTGCAATTGTGTCTGCAGTTGTGTCTGCCGGTGCGTCTGCCGGTATGTCTGCCGGTGTGTCTGCAGTTGTATCTACAGTTGTATTTGCCGGTGTGTCTGCCGGTATGTCTGCCGGTATGTCTGCCGGTGTGTCTGCGGCGTTGTGCCGGTGTGGTCCGCTGACGTGTCGTGGCACCCCCGTTCCAGGTGCTGGAGAGCCGAGCCCACCTCCAGGCCCAGTCGCGGGAACATCTCAGCGGACGAGTTTGCATGGACAGACTGCTGCCATCGGCCACCAGGCCATCATCCACTCACCTTCAGCCACTAAGCCATCGTCCAATCACCTCCGGCCACTAGGCTGTCATCCAATCACCTTCGGCCACTAGGCCGTCATCCAATCACTATTTATGCGTTTAATCCAGTCATCCATGGATATAGCCGTAAAATCCCAGTACCGCAACGCTAAAATGTTTTACGCAGAAGAGAGTATCGTTGAGTTTGTGCATTTACCTAAGCATGCGTAGACATTGTAAGCACACGTGTTCACGCCCTCGCCCGGACACAGCACCTGTTGAGTGTTATCCACCACGTACAGACGGCGTCCTTCGCGCCCACTGCTGGCAAGGGCCGGCGCGAGCGCGCGATGGTGGCGCTGTCCCGCGGGCGACGCCAACGGGAGGCTGGTGAGGGGCGCCCCGAGACGGCGCAGACCGTGTCCTGGCGTGCGGTCGGCGCGTGCCCGGTCGGTGGAGCTGGCGGCCGATGCGGGCTGGTGGGGCTGTGACTTTGACTTCTGAGGGGACTGGGGGAGACTGGCGGGTCCTCCGAGGACGTCACCAGAGCCGTCGGCATCCGCAGGTGGCGTCTGGGCGCCGGGATGCGCTGCCGTTGCGGGCTGTGCCGCTAGGTGACGCTGTGTGGCTCGTGAGCAATTATGCGGGCGTAGCGTCGGCAGGCGTCTTTGAGTTGATATGGAGGGGGACGTGCGGTATTGCGATGTATTTAGGTGGGTTTGCTGGTCTGTATATTGGGAGCTTCTCAGCTAGTGAAGCCAGTTGCCAGATTCTTTGAGCGTTTTCATTGCAGATCTATCAGGCAGTGTGTGCGTGTCTGCGTGTGCTCCAATTGCTATGCGGACGGCCTGTGAGCACATCGTCATGGCAACATTCGGGCTTATGAGACGGATAATTGTGATACATTCGCATGCTGCGTGGTTTTGGTAAGCTGTCGTTGAACGGTGCTGGTGTAGAATGTCTCGCCTGTGCTGTAGAACACGAGTGACCGTTAGGTGGGCCTCGTTGGCCCGTGGGGCGTGCGTGTGCGTGTGCGGTGCCTCTGTGAATACATGCTTTCCATGCATATATCTCACCATCTGTTTGACTTTCATAAGCTCAACCTTCGTAGATATCACTGCCTTCCACTGAATGATTTTGATCCCTTAGATTTTTGGTTCAGGAAGAACACAAAAACTGGTCTCGGCAAGTTACAAGCACACAAAGTGGGGATTTCTGACGTGTAAACACTTGCATTTGTGGGCAGGTAAGCCCAAGGATGTTCACAAATTCGTAACGTCAACGATAAAAGTCACGACTTCCAATGTTCTGATTTTGTTACAGGTCCACGTGGACATCCAAATATGACAATCCGATGAAAAGCCAAGTGCCTCAGAAGGGGTCGGGTCGAAGACTCAGGACGCCACTTTTGTAAGACATTTGTTTCCCTTCAATACCATGCTCGTTATGCCGGGTTTCGAACGCAATGGACATAACATACCGTTTGTCCCCTGCAAGACCATCCAAACTAATGGTGACAGGTGTTTTGTCGCTCATGTTCGACACAACCCGGCTGTAGTCGAGAATTTGCAAACGTTGCCGACCGAAGCGAGGGTTCTCAGGCTAAGAGCCTACATAAAAAATAATCTTCGTAAAAAGTGGGTCCAAAACCCAGAAACAGCTGCTAGAGAGGGAATGTCTAAGAGTAATTCCTGGCTATCTCGAACTGTGTTTTTGGAGGCTTGGAAGCCATTGGAGGAGCCATAACCCCTCAGATGCGCAAGAAGCTTGATTTGGTGTTGTGTTCTGAAAGCAAGTAGCAAATACGGATATGAGGGCAAATAATTTGACTAAACTTTATTGGTGGAATCTGCGTCATTTACTACGCGATAGTTTCACGCGGCGCGTAATGTTGCGCTTGCTGTATCGTCCTATGCGTTCAAGACAAGGCTGTGTGTCCCATAGTTCGCATAAATAATCTCGCCTCGGCGATCGCCCCGTTGCCCGAAACCGTTGTGTAAGCATGGTGCTTGCATTGAATTGATATTTTTAGCATCTGTGTTGTTTCATCTGTGTCATCATTGTTTCAACGAGGAATAAGCCGCAAAAGCTCAAGGGCAGGCTTGTGAATCATATTCGAAGACTCCTCGGTCCAAGGTCAGTCGCCAGACTGCAAAAGTACACCTTTTGCTGGACATGTCTGCGTAGCAGCAACATCAGTCATGGTTTATGTTGGTGCCATACTTTGCAATATTTAAACGTTTTTCAGCTGACCTTCTGAAGACATCAGACCATATATAATCATAAAACAGGAATATTTGGGGACATCTTATCATCTTGTCTTCTGAATACAATACTTATGGCGACAATGGCAGACATCGGTCTGACATTGATCTGTCACACTAATGGCATGGGCACTAATGGTGTGATGGATTGCAGGTTACTGGATGGGGAGTCAACATTTTATTTGTAAGCCACATTCCTGCAGCACACATAGCATGGTGGCTTAGACCATCCATGTGACCATCATAGATAATTTGCCAGCTCAAAAGCTTAGGTTTTGGAGGAGATGTTATGGATAAAAATTGGTTCAATTAACACTCATGTGATCATTTTTTCAGGCTGCTTCAAATCATGTCAAACAGGTGGTATAGCTTGCTCAAAATTTAACTTAATCTTAATGTAGGCAATTCCAAATCACACACACACACACACACACACACACACACACACACACACACACACATATATATATATATATATATATATATATATATATATATATATATATATATATATATAAGGGAGTGCATCATGAAGCACTCCCTTGACATCCATAAGCTTTATAGGATCTGTGCTAAGGATCTGAGATAGGCATAACACTTGACCTGGAAGTCCTCTGATAAATCTGGTTAATGTCATGCTTTTGCTATCCCATACAACTACAAGTAAATGCATTGCTGCTTGGCAAACAAACTGCACAACTTTCATAATCATACCTTCCCGTGTTTTACATTAATGTTGTACCATACTTCTCACTTCTTTTTGTTTGTCAATAATCAACAAGCCATGGAGTGCATGATTATTAGGTTAAGGAAGAGCTAAGTAGAAGAGGAAGGAAACTAGGCCTACTACCACTTTGTTTTCATAATTCATTAGCTAACATAAGCTATGTGCAGTTATGCCAGTGATTTTTGATCTGCTGACCTGCTAAGCTATTTTGTAAAATACTGAGTAGGATTGTAATTATTGGTGGATTGATGCCCTTGTTGCTCACATCAATCACCAATATTGTTTTGACCATGCATTATCAAATGTAGCACCAAGCCACTGATTGTTTGCATTGTATATTTTTTCTGAAGCCTTGGACACATGAAACTGTATTAGCAAAAAAGAAGGTATAAAACACCAAATTGTCATTAACTCACAACTATCCATCCTCAAATTATAATGGAGTGTGCTTGGAAAATTTTGGGCCATCATTGTTGCAGCTTGACACTGCTTGACTTTTGTGTGGTTGCTGCCTCATGTTTTCCATTGTATTTAAACAGGGGGATACATTGCATTGAAACCTGGGCATGTAACCTAAAGACCAATTTTGAATGACCTGTCAAAACAGAAATTCCCAACATGCTCCATGGAAATCTGAAGGATTGGTTTTGGGGGAGGAGGGGACTGTTGGGACAAATCAGGCTGTTCAAGGCAAATTAACTATTCACGGTTTTATGACCATGTGCCCGGTGATGTTTGACTTTTGAGTGTTATGATACCTTTCTTTTTTTGTATGAAGACCGAGCACATTTCGATGATGAGTGATAGATGGGAACAGCGAGTGTCAAAATCCGGGAGGAATAGGTGGGGAAGTGTAGATACTTAACTTACCACGTCGCTAAGCTAAATGAACTTTTAAAAAGACATGACGTGAGGGGCCTTCCATAAATTACGTTACGCATGGCGGGGGAGGGAGCTTAATGGAAGTGTAACAAGGAGAGGAGGGGAGGTTGTGGACAGTGTAACGTTACACTTACGTGTCGTTGCAAATGGTTCTAAAACGTCTGTGGAGTCATTCGAGTTATTATACCAGTAGGAGCCGAGTTTGTTGGCGCGGAGGAATCAATGTGTGCGACCATCAAACGAAATCATGAGTTGAGAGTTCTGATGCCGACAGTAATCGCCCTTCAGTGCGCCTTAAGGTACTGGCTAAACGTTGTTGCCACGAAAATATTGTTTTTATCTGATCATAAGCGTACCTTGAAGCGTCGGGTATTGACAACATAACCGATGTTTGTCCGGTAGCGTCGTTTATACAGTATCTCCTGATATATTGAAGTCTGATAGATATCAACATTAGAACTACTTAATCCCGAAAAACCAGGGCCTAAAAAACCCTTCTTGGTTTTGTCAAGTACCATGAAACCAATGAGTATGGAAATGTAGCGTGCAAGTACAGTGCCATAGCAAGTGCGTCGCAAGCGATGACACGATAAAAAACATTGGCTCGTTTTGCAAGGCCATGAATTGGAAATGCGTCGGACCTGGAGGCGAGCAAGGTAGGGAAGCTGAATTGATTGAACTGAATTGGATAACAGTCGAAGCATGAGTAAATTGAAATGCCATGCAATATTGATTCAGTATTTCAATGAAATAATGCATCTACATTTATTTATCTTAACGCGGCCGGGTGGCCAGCTAGATACCCTTTGCTCGGGTGGGGAGGGTCAATTTGACCCCCCTGAGATCTCGGGAACTAAGAAAGATAGAGACACCAAATTTGCGGGGTGTCTTGACCTGTACGTGAACTCACTTAGGTCAAAGTTTGAGCTTCCTAGGTCATGAGCTTCGGGCCAAATAAAGTCAAACAAGGTCAAATTCTGGGTTGGTCACCAAAGTGCCCCCAGAACCTAGGAAACTGTTTCTAAGCAAAAGGTCAAAAGCCCATTTGAGGTCAGTGACCTCGTTTGACCTTTTGAAGGCCATGGTGATCAAAGTCATACAAGACTGCTCTGAGTTTTGCATTTGAATAAGCGACAAAGATTACGCTAGGTACTATGCTCATAAAACAAAATGTCGACCCGGGTTATCTTAGGTGAATGACCTTGTCTGATCTCTGAGAAGTCAATGGAAGATGTATAGTGCGGTTCCTGCTGTCAATAAATTCGAAATGAACACCACAAACTATCTCATACAGCAAGCCCTAGAGTAATCAATCGGGTTGGTCGTGATCTTGGTCTGACCTTCATACCTGACCTTGGGTCAATCTAATTGCTCATGCAATATTTTTAGTGCCTAAGAAAGCATCTCAGAGATGTATGGCTTCGTCAAACACTCCGTTATTTTCTCAGATTGGACGATTCCCTAGAAATGGTCTCCGCTGAAACCATGGCCTGACTTTGACGTGCATGGTCAGCAACCTTACAAGGTAGATCTAAATTTTTATGTTAAACTATCCGCTATTCAGTTGTCTACAGCTATGCAAAATTGACGCTTTTGACTTGCTTGGATCCTGTTATAAAGTGGCTGACTCGTACTCTATATCGAGACCCAGACATGAACTCGGAATTAGATCGCATCGGATTCAGCCTCCTGGGACTTGGTCCCTAACTCGGACCCATAGACTATGAGAGTGGGAGAACTAGGACGCGGAGATCTGACACGGATAAGCTTGAAACTCATTTTCAGACCAGAGACACCAAGACACTGGACTTAACCTAGTTTTAGACTCCTTACCCCTGGGATCAAGGGTCTGATGATCCCTGGCTGACAACAGCACTGCAAGCGCATCGTTTCCGCAACGCTAACCCACCGGGATGAGCTTTGCAGTACAGCTCTTGTGTAGTGTTCCTGTACAATTTTTAGCCCGCTTGGGCTTATCAGTGTGCCCAATGGTTGCTTGGAGTGCGGCATTATATTTCGCCTCTCTTTTATCTTTTTAGTTAACTTGTCATTCATTAATCGTGCATTGATCTCTACCTTTGCTCACAGATGTATACGTGTGCATTGCTGAGCACAGTTAAATATTGGGTTTGTTATCAGTCCTGGTTGTAGAAATGGAACGATGTAGATATCCTCATGCCTTCATCGCCAGGTAAAT